CACATATAACAATAACACACGAGGATTTAAAAAACCTATGGCCAGGTCAAATGTAATAATTTAAATTTAAAAAATAAATGCTGGGCATGAACAAGGTAGGATAAATCTGGTAGGAGGGTTTTAAAGAAGTGAGGGGCTTCTGCCCATGTATATAGGCTCTAAGCTATAACATAAATCATCAAAAAAGGCCCTGCACCTTTTCTACATACCTTGAGCCCCCTTCCTTCCACCTCGGGGCAATTGAATTTTATGGCTGGTTCATTTGTCCTGGTAGGATCCTGTTCTTCTTTTTTGCCGAAAGCTATATGTTCTATCTCAGGATTGTTAGTTGGATAGCATGAGTGAGGATCATGACACCTTTTAATGAAGTATAGCTGAAGCATTTTCTTCAGAATCCACAATAAACACTGCACATAGTTGCTTATAGATTTGTGTAATGTCTAGGTGGCATTAAGAAACCTTGTACTGTTGCCAAATTTTTCATGGCCCTCACATTGCACTAGGGGGGCTCAATTTGGGGTTGGGACCCATAGTTTGAGAAGCAGTGCTTTGGAAAGATTTTGAAGTGGGATATAACCTGTAAAATCAACTTCTTCTTTTTACCCCAACTAAAATATCTTGTGAATACTGTTTTTCTGTAAAATAAAAGTATAAGTATTATGACATCACGAGTTAATATTGAACAATCTTTATTTCTTCTTCTTCTGTTTTTAATATTACAAATGCATGGGATTGGGAATAGGTATATATATGACTAAAATTTAAGGATAGCATGTGAGGAGGGAATGAGCCAGTCTTATGAAGACATCATATAAAGGCATGCTGTTGCTCACCCAGTGAAAAAGTTCCTTTTTATGCAGGAATTTGCTGAGACCCAAAGATCAGGAAATATGGTTATTAAGATGAAGCTACAGAACATAATCTGTTGACGCAAATTTGACGCAGGGTGCATCTACACACTGTAAACATTTTTGACACTACTTTAACTGCAACGGCTCAATGTTATGGAATTGTGGGAATTGTAATTTTACATGGTCTTTGCCTTCGCTGCCAAAGCTTTCATAGCTTTGAGCCATACCAGTTAAAGTGGTGTCAAACTTCATTAAGTCTTCAGTGTAGCTGCAGCCCTAAGAAGTGTGAGGTGCTATTTTGAGAATATGGGGATCAGGCAAAAGGATACACAAGGAATCATGTACAAGTATAATTCGAGTAGGCATTGATGCATATGCAATGTGCTTGTATTGATGTTAAGAAGCTGGTTTAATGGGCCTTCTCAGTAAATGTAAGATTACAGCTGGTAATCCAATGGGATATCAGTTGAATGCATTAAGTCTCATTGATCTAAGTACTGTAGACTACAGCTTTAATTTCTTTACTACAGGCAGTGCATCCTTTCTTCAGAATTTCAGAATCTGAAATTGTCCACATGTGTGGCTGAAATAATCAAACCTTTGCTTTCTGGTGGTTCAGTGTACACAAAGTGGACAAAGTTATTGCAAATATTGTGAAAAATTATCTTCAGGCAATGTATATAATGTATATATGAAACGTAACTTTTTTTGCCAAGATTTGGATCCTAGTTATAAAATACCGCATGAAATACATACATGCAAATATGGTTATTTTAAAATCTAAAAATAAGTCGAATCCCAAGTATTCAAAATAAGAGATACACAATCTTATATGCTACACTTTAGAATTGGGGGGGGGGGGGCCTGAGCCAGTACTGTATACAGTAAAAATTGTAAGTTGGCTTAGAATTGTTTCATAATGGCACTTGTTTTTATCAAATGCATATTGCCAAACCTAGTATACAACTATTCGTGAAATGAATTACTTTGGTTAATGCCTTTATAATGTGGTTATTAAAAAAAAAGAACAATAAGTGCCTGGATCCAGACTTTGAGATAATGGATCTGAGGAATTTATATGCCAACTGCATTTGTAACATCAGTAAAAGCGTAAAATGTTATGAGCCCAGACTTTCACCTCTTCATTAATTTGCACCTGAAATCTGAATTTCAATGTCATGAATAATGTAAATTGCATTGTTTATTTATTTATTTCCCGCTTTTCTCCCAGATAGGGACTCAAAAGTGGCAAACAACATGTAAACAAAAACATTACAACTATAAAAAATAAACATACTCATCAAATGCTATTAGTACATGCAGGCTTTACATCAGTGGAGGTGAACCTATGTCACTCTCTCTTTGGGCCTGTTGTGTCTGTGGCATAGATGACTTCTGTAGTATAGTTGGAGAGAAGCTAGGTTGGAGGGGAGCATAGCTCACAGCGTGACATAACTGGAGAGGCTGAGAGTGCTTGGGCCACAGTGTCTACATACCTTGAGTCCTCTTCCTCCCACCTCGGGGCAATTGAATTTTATGGCTGGTTCATTTGTCCTTTGCAGTGTCAGCCCTACACATGCCACTGGCCCTACCTTGTTGCCCGCCAGAAACTCATCTGTAATGGAGCTATTGGAATTTCAAGAAACCTTTATCTGGAAAAATAAATTATATGACCTGCATGAAACACTTGAGAAGATAGAAGGGATGACAAAAGGCAGTATGGTTCTACTTTAAAGTGTGGAATTCTCTGCCAAATAATTTTAAGTCAATGACAGGACTTGGGATTGCTTTCCTTACTTTGTTTGGCTCACCTTATGCTTGTGAGAAGCTGTTTTCAGTTTTGAATTACATCAAATCTGACACCACAAGCAGACTAAAAGATGACCTAGAACTGCATGTGTGTCTCTGAAACTCAAAAAGTTTGAGCCAAGGTTAGACAAATTATCAGCATGCATACAACAGCAACAATCATATGAATTGTTCAAAAGCATGCCAAATGTAATTTTTTACCTTTCGATAAAAAGTTGTTTGTATCATTGAAAGCTCTGTTACTGTGTTTTTCTTTTAAGATAAAATATGTTAATGTATGATTTGGGTTTTTTTCTAAACGAAACCCTCAGTATTCAGGTTAAATTGCCATGTTGACACTTTGTGATAAATAAGTAGGTTTTGGGTTTCAGTTTAGACACTAAGGGCCTTCCAGACAGGCCCTATATCCCAGGATCTGATCCCAGCTTTTCCGTTTATCCCAGATTATTTGGCAGTACGGACTCATATAATCCAGTTTAAAGTAGAAAGCCAGAGATCAGATCTTAGGATATAGGGCCTGTCTAGAAGGACCCTAGTCCCTAAAAGATTCATGTCACTGCTCTAGATAATCACTTAGTGGTCCTTAAATCTCTAAGACCATTTGAAGATTTGTCATTGGGACTCACAAATTCCAGGTGTTTTGACATATAGTTCTATGTTGCCTAGCCCTGTTTGAGCAGTTATTTCTGTAGCCCCAAAGCCACTGCTTTAGAAAGACTTTCACTTACCCAGGGGCTGATATTTTGCCACATGCATTGCTCAGATTACCTTGTTACATGCAGGGACTAGCATCATGGCATACTTGAAGGTCGTAAATGTCTTGTAGTTAGCTGCAATTGAAAGTTCATTATTCACAAAACTCTTCCATGTTGTAATGGTAGTGTCTTAATTGATGCTTGACAATCTCCCAGGCTGAGGTGATATACTTGAAGTTATTCTGTTTTCTTCAGTAATAGAATGCACTATTCCTTCAAGTCTCAAGTAATGGTTGTTAAATAAGCTAGACCAGTGGTTCTCAACCTTCCTAATGCCTCAACCCCTTAATATAGTTCCTCATGTTGTGGTGACCCCCAAGCATAACATTATTTTTGTTATTACTTTCATAACTGTAATTTTGCTACTGTTATGAATTCTAATGTAAATATCTGATATTTTCATTCCCTGGACAATATTTGGTACAAATACCTGATGTGCCCAAATTTGAATACTGATGGGGATTGATTTTGTCCTTTGGGAATTGTAGTTGCTGGGATTTATAGTTACCCTACAATCAAAGAGCATTTTGAACTCCACCAATGATGGAATTGAATGAAACTTGGCACACAGAACTCCCATAACCAACCAAAATACTGGAAGGGTTTGGTGAGCATTGACCTTGAGTTTTGGAGTTGTAGTTCACCTACATCCAGAGAGCATTGTGGACTCAGGCAAGGATTAATCTGGACCAAATTGGGCACAAATATTCAATCTGCCCAAATGTGACGAGTGGTGAAGTTTGGAGAAAACAGACCTTGACATTTGGGAGTTGTGCTTGCTGGGGTGTATAGTTCACCTACAATCAAAGAGCATTCTGAACCCCACCAACGATAGAATTGGGCCAAACTTCCCACATGGAACCCCCATGTCCAACAGAAAATGCAGTATTTTTCTGATGGTGTTTGGTGACCCCTTTGACACCCCCTCACGTCCCCTAAAGGGGTCCCGACCCCCAGGTTGAGAAATTCTGAGCTAGACCATTGCTTCTTAAACTGTGGGTCCTGAACCCAAATGCGTTCCCCTTGGCTCAATTATGGGGTCACGAAAAATTTGACAGCACTAAAATGTTTCTGAACATCACCTAGTGTCCTAGTGGCTGTCTTAAACATTTATACAAATCTGTTAGTAACAATGCGCAGTGTTTCCAGTGAATTCTGCAGAAAATGCTGTATCTGTCCTTCATAAAAGGGAAAATCAGCCTGTTTAGCAAGCCTTGCAAATGCTGATTTATTAACAGTATATGATTGATTTTATACCTATTTAATATACTTATATATCTGAGGTGTAAAAATTCATTTGGTGGAAAAGGAATTCTTAGACATTGAAATAGCAATGATATTGCTCAATTTTTAGTCTGGGATGTAGGAGACTTAAAGCACCATAAATTAGCTGCAATAATATTAAGTGTAAAACACTACTGTGAGGTTTTGCAAGAAAACTGCTTAAGTTGGTGCATGGTGTCCAGTTGTGGCTTTCTATGGCATATTTAAATAGTAGTAACTATTCTACAGTATTGTACCTATTACAATGTAAATTTGAGATTTTCTCATTGCCTTTGGAGGAAACTAAATTATCTAATTTCTAATTCTTCTAACAGCATTGTCAAGTCCGCTCTTCCTGCAAAAGGATTGTACAAAAGGTCCTGAGGTATGGTGTCGAAACGTGCAAACTGCATCTCATTGCAATGCAATTAAACATTGTCGACAGACTGTCTGGAACAAGCCCACAGTGGTAAGTTGAATTGACCAAAACATGGATGTGAGGAGCTAGAATTTAAACCAAGCTTGGTTTCTATGGTAGAAGTGCATACTCTGTAATTCAGGGGTTCTCAAACTAAGGCCTGGGGGCCGGATATGGCCCTCCAAGGTCATTTACCCAGCCCTCGCTCAGGGTCAATCTAAGTCTGAAATGACTTGAAAGCACACAACAACAATCCTATCTCATCAACCAAAAGCAGGCCCACACTTCCCATTGATGTACTAAGTTTATTTGTTCTTCATTTTAATTAGTGTATTGTTTTAAAGTGTTTTCCCATCGTGATCCCTGTGAATCGCACATATGGTAGTTTCTGCGCCTGAGCAGACAGCTTCGGATCAAAACTACCATATGTGCGAATTCACAGGTGATCACTCGGGAAACTACGGTTACAGGTAAGCAACCTATATTTTTTGAACTACAGATAAGTTATGTGCAGTGTGCATAGGAATTCATTCATTTTTTTTTCAAAGTATAATCTGGCCTTCCTACAGTTTGAGGGACTGTGACCTGGCCCTCTGTTTAAAATGTTTGAGGACCCCTGCTGTAATTCATACTTCTGAACAATATTTAGGGACAGTTTTAGGAAGTATTTAGGAACACTTTTTATTCTTAAAACATTTAATCAATTTGTTTTAAAAGACATTTTAAAATTACTTGCTTTAGAAGTTTATATAAAACTATCAGATGATTTTGCTTAAGTATGATCTCCAGGATAATAATAATAATAATAATTATTATTATTATTATTATTATTATTATTATTATTATTATTAATCTTTATTTAATACCCCGCCACCATCTCCCCAATGGGGACGAGGGGCGGCTTTCATGAGGCCAAGCCCAACAGCATATTACAATAAAGTAAAACCAAAATGCAGTAACAACACAGGAAAATACATACAACATATGAGTACAAAGACAATAAAGCAAAATAATACACAGTAAAAAAAAACATAGCATAACAATGAGCAAGATAAAAACTAAGATTCTAAAAATACTAAAATCAGGATGAGATAGGGATGGAGCAGATTGTTTGTTCTCTTAATTCCAATTATGTCTTCCCTTTGTGAAATAACCAAGAATTGCGAAAGTTCCAACTGTAACCTAAGATTAAAAGTTGGAACTAGTTTAAGGTTTGTTCTTGCAACAAGAACAACCTCTATTAAGGTTCCCAAGGGTGAATCTATACTAACAATACCAAGGTTGATCCAGTGTGGTGTATCCTGGAGCTCTGTGCAGCATTTGGCTGTCACAGAGCTGATCAAGGCCTGAGCTGACCTAAGTTGACATTATAGATATGACCCTTGTCTACTGACTTCTTCAGACCTCTTTAGTCTTCATCATACATCCTGTAAACTTCCAATAGTGCTGTTTCTTCTGTACAACATGACAGGACATGTAGCTTATTACAGTTAACTGTGATGCCCCTTTCAAGGGGAGATCAACTCTACCATATGATTAGGAAGTAATATTCTTGTAACTTTAAAAAATTAATAATGTCCTTTCTTCTCAGAAAAGCATCCCTTGTGATTTGTGTAAAGAAATCGTAGCTGTAGCTGGAAAGGTCTTGAAAGACAATGCTACTGAGGTAAGAGAATGATCTTCTGGAAGTTGCCTATATTTAGTCAAGTCTTACTGACAACTTGCAAGAAAATAAGCACAAGGTTTATCATTGCGTGTGGATATGTTCACTTTTAAGCAAAATTTAGTATGAATGTACAAAGTATGAGTTTCTAAAGTAGAAACATCTTAGTCGAGATCTGTAAATAGTTTGTTAAAGTAAACATTTCCATACTTATCCATGGTGTAGTAGAGTCTTGCTTCTGTATGTATTTAATTGTTTTAATATGCAATATAATATATATTCAGACATACACACAAATCCTACTTTAGTGAGGCTATATCAAATTTTATTTGCAAATTTTCCTTGGTGACAGATTCTTCTAGCTTTCCTTGCCAATTTTTCATCACCTTGCTCTGATGGAAATGTATTGTTCAGGTGCAAAAAATACATTTATGGAAAGTGTGATTTAAAGGTGGACATTGTTTCTGATAAGGAGAATTTAAAAGTTCTTAATTACTGAAATGTAATGTGATCCTTGGCCTAATTGTTGAATCATTTCTATGTGCCAATTGCTATTTGCCTTTAGTAAGTAATATTTCAAAGTATTTTTAAGACGAAATTTTTGAAATCTTTGCCATTTATTCAGGCGCTGGGGGGGGGGGGGGAAGCTGGAGCTGTTGAATTTGAAGATCTTTTTCAGGGCTGGTTTCATTTTTTGTTTTTGTGATAAATAGAAGTACGTGAAATTTTGAGATGGATCTACTCTTGTATATAAATTACAAATTAGATTAGATGTATACTCTTGTATATAAATTACAAATTAGAAATTTCTGTCTTTATAGAATCAAAGTATTCAGCATAATTGTGCTTAGTCATATGGGAGATTATACAATGTTACATAAGTTTTTGAAATTCCTCTGCAATACCTTGTGGAAAAATTAAGAGATGTCCAGAATTTTTCTTAAGAAATAGAACTGTATTGCTTCGCAACTTTGATTACTTTTTCTTTTTTCAAAAGGATAGCCATGCTAATTTGTTTCAATATAAAAAGGAGAGGGGGAATCTAGTAGCATTTTTAAGATTTAACATATTTTAGCATAAACTGTTCTGGACTTAAGTCCACTTCAGAAGCGGACAAAAGCATTAGTTGCATCTAAAGAAGTTAATTTGAAATCCATGGAAATTCATGCTAAAACAAATCAGTCTTATAAGTACCACTTGATCTCACCCCCACTTTTAAGGAATAATTAAGGCTTTCTTCTCCAAATAGAAAAATAGACAGATCTATTAAATCCTTAACTGTTTATTCCTTAACTCTATCTTCTGTCATAGGATGAAATCTATGCCTACTTGACAAAGGCCTGCGATTTCCTTCCTGATCCAGGCCTTGTATCTCAGTGCAAGGAAATGGTGGAAGCTTACTTGCCAAACATTCTGGATATGCTCAAGGAGGAGCTTGTACGTAGCATTTCATAATATTGTATCCATGAATTTTTTTTATAACACTGTGTAACAACATTTGGGGGGAAAACTGTTCCTGATTTGAAAGTGTTATTTCCTGTTTAATTGTGTGCTACTTACTTTGAAGGCAATTGTTATACTCCAGGAACTTCTTTTTTGAGGGGGGGGGGGGGAGCTGCCGCAAACTATGTTAAATTAGTTGAGACTCTCTAAGATAATTCATTGTAAAATTATAGCAATATGTGATGTGGGATGTTCTGCAGAAACAATTTTTTTTTGCAATTTAATAAACTTTTCCCATTTTTTTAAATGATAGAACCAATTAGGAAATTATATTTGTAACCCAGGTACAAAAAATATGTTACATAGTGTAATCAGAGTAAATTGGAAAAGCCAAACTCTCTTGCAAGTTGTTTTTATTTTCTTAATCTAATTTCCAGAGCTCTTGGATTCTGGCCTCTAAAGTATGTTTTTATAGCAAGTGCTAGAGGGACCAAGGTGGTTGGTTCTGGAAATAGTAGTTGTGGGGAAGAGAAAATTTTGCAGCTATCTAGTTCACAATTGTAAATTTTGGAAAATCTGACACATTTTGTCTAGTTGATGTTTCCTCTACCGCTGGATGAAAAGGTATGAGCGCTTTATTGTCTCTTAATCCTTAGGATAATCCTGAAGTTGTATGCAGTTCACTGACATTGTGTCAGTCTCTTCAGAAGCACTTGGCCGAAATAAAACTGCAGAAACAGCTTCAGACTAACAAGATCCCTGAACTAGACTTCTCTGAACTGGCGTCTCCTTTCATGGCTAATGTGCCACTTCTCCTTTACCCCCAGGACAAACCTAAGCAAAAATCTCAGGTGAGACTGTAGCATCTTAATTGCATTGAAGTTGTACAATAAAGATAAATGTTCACAGAATACTCTTCACAGAATATTGTTTTTAGGAGTTAAAATACATTCCTATAAAATGATAGGATTATTTGGTCAAATCACTGCTGAAAACAGTTGCTAGGTATCTTAGACTCTTCAAAACCACACTAATTTATTAGCCCATTGCTGTCTTTAGAAGCAATGCAGTGCACACTGTGTTTGGATACTAACATTGTTGTATAATCTTTCATCATTATTATTATGTTTATTTATACCCTGTTTTTTTCTTCACAAGGAAACTCAAAGCAGCATACATTCAAAGCATTTCAGTACAATTTAAAATCTACAAATATTTAATAATTTAAACAGAATTTAATATCATGGCTATTAAAAATTCAGCTAAGGTCAGTAAATACATAGGTAAAATGTAAAGGTTTTCCCCTGATTTTAAGTCTAGTCATTCCTGACTGGGGGGTGGTGCTCATCTCCATTTCTAAGCCAAGGAGCCAGCATTGCCCGTAGACACCTCCAAGATCATGTGGTCGACATGACTGTGGAGCACCATTAACTTCCCACTGAAGCAGTATCCATTGATCTATTCATATTTGCATGTTTTTGAACTGCTTGGTTGGCAGAAGGTGGGGCTAACACCAGGAGCTCACCCCCACTCTCCTGATTCAAACCAGCAACCTTTTGGTCATCAAGTTCAGCAGTTCAGCAATTTAACCCACTGCTCCACCAGGGGCTCCCAATAAATACATATGCAAACTAAATCAACATATGCTACACATGTTCTATCTGGAGATCATCCTGCAGTGAGCAGGAAGTTGGGTTTGATGCCCCATGAGGCCCCTTGACTGGGATTATGTGTTACGATTCTATATTACTAAAAAGCCTTAGATACTCTGTGTTTTTAATCTAAGTAGTGCAAAATGGGGGAAAAGACTGTATAAGTCATTGTTACTAAGAAGGAGGTGAGAATTCTAGAGAGTAGAATAACTAAATATAATTGAGATAGTTCTAAAAAGAAGAAAGTTGCTTGAGTGGATTCAGACCAAGGATGCATACACGTACATTGGTTGCATGATTATTTCTGACTCAGGCAGAAATTAATGACATCACTTTGGTTCACAGAAATTACCCAATATATGGGAAGGGCAGGGGACTCCTATTACTATGTTTCTTTAGTGGCCTTGATATCAATCTTTTGGTTTGGCTGTATAAAAGGAGAGGTTTCTGAGTGCAAAAATAGGGGGTTTGTGTGGCCTGTAGGACACCCCTGACTAGCCTGATGTTGTAGGGCATCAGGTATTTAAAATGATTTTCTTTAAAAGGAATGAGATGCCCTTATACAGCAGGAGAAAGCCTTTAACTGAATCTAGCTTGAGGAAAGGCAGCATATTGCTCTTTAGTTGTCTTAGACAACAGTTTTCATTATCCTCATGGGCTGGGATTATGTGTGTTGTAATTCAGGACTTCTAGGAGGTACCCAAAACGCCAACACCTGCCTTGGAAATCCAGGAAAAAGCATTCAGTTGCTGCATTGCAGGTTTTTTGGGCTGTATGACCATTTTCTAGAAGCATTCTCTCCTGACATTTCGCCTGCATCTAAAGTAGGCATTCTCTGAGGTGAGGATGCCTGCTTCTAGAACATGACCATATAGCCCGAAAAACCTACAACAACCTCGTGATTCCAGCCATGAAAGCCTTCAACAATACATTCAGTTGCTAATTGAAAAATACAAAGGTTTGTTTGTGTTTTCGAATACAAAGGTGTGCATCACCTATGTTTCATACAAGATGCATTTCATCTGCAATCAAGGAAATTAAATGAAAAAAACATGCTGCAGTTGATATCTTCGGATGTTAGGTTTGTGTTGATCAAGCAATTTTCAGACGGTCTCCTTTTATTTCCTTTTAGTTCTGATTAATAGAGGTTGGTTAAATTCCTGGTACTTCACAAATATAAATTGATGTAGAACCTTTGTAGCTTTAACTGTCTTTGGGATAGCAAAGTGTTAAACTGATAGCGGTTCAACTGAACTAAATGAAGGAGGAGAGAGCAAGGACAAATTCAGTGCCAAAATCATGCTGAAAAGTGAAGACTGCTTTGGAGTATAAGGAAATAAAATAAAATCTCAGCCATATAGTATTTTGTGAGGTTGCTTTAGATTAAATTTACATATTTTTATGTCAAGCATCAGTTCAGCATGGTGATGTGACAATGCTTTTTGGAGGTCTCTTGCAGTTTTTTTTAAAACATTGCTTTGTTTGGGTATGCCAACTGTTTCGGAGTACACTAAATGCACCAGATTCCGGCCAGACTTTTGCAGCTAGGCAGCATCAGCCCCAATTAGTATTTATTTGTTTACTTCATTTTTACCCTGCCATTCTCACCCCTCACGAAACTCAAGGCGGTTTACAAGTTCTGGCAAAATTCAATGCCACATGGACATAACAATAAAACAGAACCCATCAAATTATAAAACAGTTAAACATTGATAATAGTTGGATGAGAGATTGCCAGCAAATACCAGGTGGTGCCGGCTATATCTCAGAAGAAGGAACTGGCAAAATCACCTCTCAGTATTTCTTGCATGAAAAGCCCTATGAAATTCGTGAAGTTTTGAAAAGTTGATAGGCAACTTGAAGGCCACATATACACAACTTTTGGACAGAGACCACTAGTGCAATAGTAAAGGGTGCAGCAGCATAACTTCCTTTTTTCAAAACTTAATAAAACCCATTGTATCAGATTTTTTTTTCATAATGTAGGCGCATACCTAAAGTTTTGTTTTATGTAGTTTTGAAGATCAAATTAGGTAGGTGACGTCCCCCATTCTCCATACACTGAGTAAACCGATTTCTGGCGTTTGTCATGACTCTTGCCAGCATAGCAGGCGTTATGTTGGCAATTTCTTCCTGGATGTTGGTCTTCAAATCTTGTAGGGTCCTTGGACGGTTCACATAAACACCGGATTCAAAAAAAACCATAGAAAAAAATCACAAGGGGCCAAATCTGGAGAGCGGGCCGGCCACTCCAAATCCCCCTAATAGAGATGAGGCGCTCTGGGAAGTGTTCCCTCAAAACAGCCATTGATGCTCTTGAAGTGTGTGCAGTTGCACCGTCTTGTTGGAACCAAATGTCCCCTAAATCCAACCCATCTAGCCGTGGGGAAAAAATTTTCTGTAACATGTTTACTGTCACTGTGTCTTCATTTTCCTCAAAGAACCTGGGACCAATAATTCCAGCTGAGGAAATTGCACACCACACTGTGATTTTAGGTGAATGCAAAGGCCTTTGATGCAATTCTCAAGGATTGTTGTCAGCCCAGTAGCGCATGTTTTGTTTGTTGACGAATCCACACAAATGAAAATGGGCTTCATCACTAAAAAAAACAAGAGCGTCCTCAGAAACGACTTCGAGAAGAACCTCACACGTGTTCCTCCGAGAATTGAAGTCACGTTCTGAAAGTTCCTGCACAATCGCCATCTTGTAAGGATGGAAATGAAGATCATCATGAAGAATTCTCCTCACAGAACGATCAGAAAGTCCAAGGGCAGACGCATGTTTGCGCACAGAACGCCGTGGTGATCGCAACATTGAAGCTCTCACTGCCTCAATGTTCTCAGGTGATCTAATGGGCCGAGGGACTCCAGTTCTTCGTTTTGTCGCACTTGCAGTTTGTCTGAATGTAGTGACCCACGTCACAATTGATTTCTGGTCCGGGACAGGGGCCAATGGGGCTAAATTAAAGCGATTCCAAAAGGTGCGCTGGGTTGCGATCACAGAACATCCGCTCGAAAAGTAGGCCTCAGCGGCAAAAGCACGCTTCTCACTGTTCCAACGCACGATGGTGACTGAACTGTGTCATAGGCCTCAATGGCAAAAGCACGCTCCTCGCTATTCCAACGAATGATGGCGACTGAACTGTGTCAGGACAAAACTTTAAACTCCCGACTTTTGAACGAGACCACTAGCGCTCCGCTACGTCTTCAACCGACTGAATTGCGCACATTTTTTTAAAGGAAGTTATGCTGCCGCACCCTGTATAAGAAGAAAAGTGGTATTGATCAGAATGCCATTTCACTTGCATCACGGTATAAATAAGTCATGTGCTGTGAATAATTTTTATCAGAAGTCTTTTATCAGATGACTTGCTACTGGGCAGTACTTTATGAAACATTAGCATTTTTCTTCAGTATCATTCTACTAATATAGACAGTTAAGAATATAGAATAAAGATGATTTTGCTTGCTTTTCTTGCAGGGAGGTGGGGATGTATGCAAAGATTGTGTTCAGTTAATAACTGACATTCAGGAAGCTGTGAAAAGCAATGCAACATTTGTGAATTCTCTGATTGAACATGCCGTGGAGGAGTGTGACCGCTTGGGCCCAGCCTTTGTAGATACGGTAATTGAACAGATTGTATTGCTATCTATCATTGGAAATGTATAGTATGCTAATATATTTGTGAAGCCTGAGAGCTTCAATCCTGAGTCTAGTATAAGAGTATTAATGACCTTGGACAGTTACTGTGTCTGAACACAAACATGTTTTTAGAAAAGCTTTCTGTGACTTGAAAATAGGAAATGGAACTGTGTATGAATTTTGACTACTGGATGAAATAGTGGGTTTATGAATTCAGGTTGCAAAAATGGGCACTTAACTACTGAGAATAGTAAAGAGTTCCATGGCTTAAATGATGAGATAGTATGGATAGAGTGTGATATGCTTGGTATTTTGGCACACCTCAAATCCTTTTCCTTTCTTTAAATAGTGCAAGTCCTACGTCTCCCAGTATTCAGATTTGGCTATCCAGATGATGATGCATATGGTAAGATGGATATTAATTATCATTCAGTATTCTTATTCTGATAAGCAACTTCCGATTTAAGATCTGTGCCACCAGAAATCATTTAAGAAGTGTTCTAAATTGAAATAAAGGAAAACTGACAATATTCCTAAAAAGGTTGAATGGAATTCCTAAGATTGCAAAACTCAACTTAAGTTTATTGTACCAGAATACTTGACTTTTAAAGGTTCATTTGAGGTGCATACCCAACCACTGATCAACACTTCTGTCTGAATCAAGGTTTAGGTAACCAAAGTTGGGTTTCCATCTGGTGACAAGAATAAATTTTACTCATTATACCAGCTATACCATAAATTAATAGTATTGGGTCCTCTATCCTTATCTACACTAGCATTTAGAAATGAATAAATGCATCCTCAGTTTGAATTAAAACAAATGAATCTGTCTGAGCCTACACACAGCTTAGTGCTTGTGACAATCCTGTGTGCCATGCAGTTTGCTTGATTGTTTTCCTTGTTAACTGTTTTGTTTTCCTTTCTCTCCATTCTGTCAACAGCAGGAGCAGGTATGTGAGATGCTTGCTTGTGGTGGTGCACTGCTTCCCCCAGCCCCCCAAAACCCTGAAAGGCTGTAGATTAATCTCTTTCTAATTTAGTTGGTAGATATTATGTGACTCAGTTCAGCTTTGACAGATTCAAGGAACATTTACTAGCTTTGAAAAGGATTATTTCTAAATGCCACTTGAGCTTTTATCTTAATTGATATGTATCAATATTACCAACCCATTTTGGCAATTTCTGATTCTGAAATTCAATTGATTAAAATTAATTTACAGAAGGCCATGTGGAACCTGTATACCCTACATTGTAGTTTAACATAGTGAGGAAGGTTTTTGGCATGCCCCAAATATGACTTGGGAACAGCTGCTGGATTCTTGGAAAACCTTGCGCCTGTCATGGTTTTTAGTTGACAATAAATGTTGCATGTGTTCAGTGCTGGCTCTAGTAGTGACTGTGACAATAATATTTTCCATTAACAGAGAACATATGAAGTGGGGTGGAATGGGGAAAGGAAAGCTTTTTTCTTTTCTAACTTCAGAGTGTGCTAAACTACTTTTGGGCGTATTTGCTGTTGCATGAGGATTTCATGGGGAACTGCTTTAAAATGCTGAAGTGATATGCCTTACATGAAGTGCAGTGGCTTGCTACACAAAGAAAAATGCATGTTGTATACTGATGTGAAATAGTAATGGAAGAAAATAATGAGTCTGTCTAGCGGCGGAAGGAAGGGCTGGACATCCATCTTCTTTGGATGTCTGGAAACAGTCATAATGTTCTGCTGTTATTTCATTTTAAAAGTTTAGATGGGGTAAATGATTTCTTATAGCATTTGTCATGAAAACTGCAGTAACATTTTGTAAATTCATGCTTTTAAAGCTGCTCGATGCTGTGTACATATCTGCTACTTAGTTCGGACATCTATATAAATAAAAACGTAATGTTCATTTGTGAGATTAACATAACTCAAAAACCATTGGGCGAATTGGCACCAAATTTAGACACATGACAAGGAGAGACGATCACTCAAAGAAAATTGATTTTATCATTTGGGAATTGTAGTTGCTGGGATTTATATTTCACCTAAAATCAAAAACTCAACCAATGATGGAATTGAACCACACTTGGCACCAGAATTCCCCATGACCAACAGAAAATACTGGAAGGGTTTGGTGGGCATTGACCTTGAGTTTGGGAGTTGTAGTTCACCTACATCCAGAGAGCACTGTGGACTCAAACAATGATGGATCTGGACCAAACTTGGCACGAATATTACATATGCCCAAATATGAACACAGATGGAGTTTGGGGGAAATAGACCTTGGCATTTGGGAGTTGTAGTTCCTGGGATTTATAGTTCACCTACAATCAAAGAGCATTCTGAACCCACCAATGACAGAATTGGGGAAACTTCCCACACAGAACCCCCATGACCAACAGAAAATACTTAAGGCCATCCAGTCCAACTCCCTTCACCAGGGCAAGAAAACCTAATCAAAGCCCTCCTGACAAAGAGCCATCCAGCCATAGATATAGATAGACAGATATGATTCACACATACACAGATATAGTATCATAGATTTGAAAGGGACTCCTAAAGAAGGACAATTATATGTTGCATATCCCAGAGTAGGCAATCTCCACATCAACAATGACAAAGAAACAAGAAATACTGTTTATCCACAAGCATAAAAAAATTATATATATTAGAAACCAACACTTTCTCATCACTTTATTTTCCAGATCACTAGACTGGGCCACAGCAACATGTGGCAAGGGACGGCTAGTGATAAATAAATCATGACTCACTGTGATCCGTGAATTGTCATGCTCCCGCTTCACATGCTTTCTTCTGGTCATCCTGTAAAGGAAGCTCACTGCAGTTCTAAATTAATTACAGGTCCTCATTTTGTTTGAATCTGACAAAAAGAATAGTTAATCTTAGAACAGTAAGCCTGTTCTAAGCTGTGAATTATGGAGGTAGCTTATTCAACATAGCATAGCCCTTAATTGGATCTTACTTCTGGATCATGATACAAAACTCCACACAGCCAAAAACTAAAGAATAAGAATCAATAATGTGGGGTGCTAAGGGAGGAAAAAGCACAGAGGGTCAAAGTTTGCAGCAGCTAATTTCTATAATGACATGGTCTGTTGTCATAATTTCAGAAAACTAGCACACAACTATCTATTGTGTAATGCTCAGCTTGGCCTGAGCAAGAAAAAAAAAGGATCTATTATTATTGGGAAAATCTTGTATGTACAAATGTTTTGAGTCTCCATCACAATTTCTAGCAATTTTGTACTGGATAAGGCAGACACCAGACTATCTAGACCAGTGGTTCTCAACTTGTGGGTCCCCAAGTGTTTTGGCCTACAACTCCCAGAAATCCTGGCCAGTTTACCAACTGCTAGGATTTCTGGGAGTTGAAGGCCAAAACATCTGGGGACCTATAGGTTGAGAACCACTGATCTAGACCCATTCTGTTTGAAATGGCAGGGTACTTTTATAGTATTTGCAAAATTGAGTGAATCAAAGGCCATTACTTTACTGTGCATTAAAGATATTGCCTTTAAATGAATACTTTCAGAGTGTTTATTGCTGAACAAAGTCTATTAAATATATTTAAATGTTTCTTGCAGTTAGTAAGTACAGCTACAAAGGAAATGGGAGGTGTTAGGATAGGCAATGAAGTACTTTAAGAACATTTAGGGATTGAAAGTGAAATCATTAAGTGTGATAAGCATTTTTAAAAAATCTCTAGTAGGTAAGGAAGTTCAGCAGAGTGTGAACTGTCAGAAATAATGGTGCCGCTTTAGAATGTGCATCATTTTTTCATTTTCAGATCATAACAGGTCTCAATTATTAAACCACAATATTTGTTTGGCATAGATGGAGCTTTTAATTTATTGTTCAGTTGTACATGTAAGCTGAGGATTGCTCTTGAAGCTTTTAATGTGAAATTGAGAATATGGTCTGAAGAGAAAGCAGTTTTTGTAATGTTCCTTTATGCTGACCGTGGGTGACCCTGATCAATAGCAACCATGTCAAGAGGGGTTTGTTTTGGCAAGGATGCTTGGCATGAGGGAAAGTTTGCCATTTCCTCCCTCTACTAGAATGGTTTTATGTTCCATCTGTAATAGAGCATGGTATGGAGGGGGGGGGGCTTCAAAACAAGGAAACGTCTGTATTTTGTAACTATTTAGTTTGCTAGAACAGTAAATACTTTTTTTATGATAACAACCAGAACATTTCTGTCTCCATTGCTGTGCACTATTGTTCTAAAATATACTGTATAATTTATGGTGGAAAAATCTCATGATGCTGGAACCTATTCTTAAGTGTTTAGGTATATTATAGAGAAGAACCAACAGAATTAATTGATTACTTGGGGAAACTCAAACTGAAAATATAAATAGCATTGCTTGAACTGTCTTGCAGTAATTTGGTTCTTTTCAAATATATGAAAGTAGAAGGTATATATGTCCCTCCTACAGTTGTCAAGAAATAATGTGTATTATTGTTCTGTATGTCTCCAGCAACCACAGGATATTTGCCAGATGATTGGATTCTGTTCTTCTGTGAAATCTGTGCCTCTCCAAACTCTGGTGCCCGCAAAAGCCATCTCTCCAGCAAAGGTAGAACCAGTTGAGGTAAGGCTTGGTGGGCAGTAGTTTTTTATACCACTGGGTGGTGAGCATTTAAATTATAATATTTAATAATTTTAATTATGATGCTATTTTGGGGGGGGGGGGTTAGTAAAGTTTGGGACATTTGGATGAAACCGTTCTAGCCCATAATGTGATAAGGGGAAAGGAGTGCATGACATATTTTACCAAAAAATATACATAAGTGACCACTTTTTATATTTGTGAATGAATGCAATATGACTATTATAATTGTAATCTATGTGTCTACCCTTTTAAAGTAAAAGGACACATTAACCCACTGATGGTAGACTGTGTGGCTTCCATGCAGTAAGATTAGGTGGCATATGGTGGGACGGCCCTGTGACACAAACATCAGAGCTTCTGCCACTCTAAATAAAATCTTGGTTTAATGGTCATGTAATCTGACAGTTTCCTATGAAATTGAGAATTGGTGACTTCCGAAATATCAGGGAGAATGGTTAAATTTATGTAAGGTTCAAGATATGGAAGAATTTTAATTCCTGATTAAATCAAAAGAGTTTGCCCCTAAACAGTCTTTCCACATAAGCATAAGTGAACAGTTTATCTGCCTGTGTATATATTTTGCAGATGGAAGTATCCCACATTGAATTTTTGTTGAATGGCATGTATTCAAAAGTGAGGATGTAGATATGACAATATAGTGTTATGCAAAGTCTTTATGATCACTTCTGTCCTGCTAATATTTGGTCTCAGAGGTTAGTGGGTTATAGACTGTGTTTTCAGTGATGGTGCAAACTTTGGCAGATCTTGAAAACAACAGAAAAACATACTTTTATCAATAAGCAATATGATTGAAATCTTGAAAGTTTAAATAAAAGCAGTGTTAAATTAATACATTCTATCAATCCTAATCGGCAGTAGAAGAGTGAAAACACTATTGAAAAGTGGAGTGGGTCTTGAGTAATATTGCATTTTGACTAAGTACTGGTAACTCTTTTTGTAAAACATTTTATATACAGACCAGCCTGAGTCAAAGGGAAACTTTCTCTCTGTGTGAAGCATGCACAATTATGGTGGAAGAAGTGACCAGTCTTCTGGAAAGCAATAAGACAGAGGTCTGTATTCTGTTCTTTCTGAAACAGCTATTAAATGAGGATGCTAAAATTACCTTATAGTTACCCAAATATCCTAAATATAGTTTTCCTTCCAGGAAATGTACCATCTGATATAGTTACTAGTGAAGAGGTATTGATTTTGCCATAACTTCCCTAGAGCTTAAGTGTAATTTATACTAACATGAGGTTTAAGTCCGTTGACTGCTCACATGCCAGATGGGCACACAGCAAAACCTTGGAGGCCATTTTATTTATTTACAGTATTTATATTCCTCCCTTCTCACCCCTCAGGGGACTCATGGCGGATTACAGTGTACACATACATGGCAAACATTCAATGCCAAAGACACACAACAGATATAGACAAACAGTCAGAGGCTATTTAACTTTTTCTGGCTGCCAGGGGAGCTGTTGCTTTCATCGTCCATCTGCGACACTGATGAAGTACTTTCGCATTCCCTGCATGCTTTTGCTGGAGTGCTTTGCTGGAGTCTTTTTTATGGCCTCGTAAATTTTGTTAAATTAGCCTCCCCACACATAGGTGCTACCTAATTTTCCTACTTGACAGATGCAACTGTCTTTCGGTTTGCAAAGGTCGGCAACAAGCTACACAATTGGTTGGAAGCGCACTCCGACCCGGGCTGGCTTCGAACTCATGACCTTGTGGTCAGAAGTGATCTTAATGCAGCTGACACTCAGACAGCTGCACCACAGTCACGGTGCTCATTCTCAGTGTACAGGCCACATTACTGCCATTTCTTGGACTGCAATGAACATTTCTGTCAGAAACTTTTTTTCCTTATTAGATATGGTACTCAACAGTTTTTCAATGCAGAACTTGTGCAAGTGACTTGGGGGGGGGGGTTGGGAGTGGGGGTAGAATTGGCAACTGTAATTGAAAAAAAATCTGAAAACAGTTTTCACTGTTTTTGAGATTGTTCTGTATTTTACTGCTAAGTTTCCCAAGAGATTTGTGATAGGAAGCCATTGAAACACAGAAATAACAACTTTACATCTTGCTAATTCTCCACATTAGGAAGAAATGGTATATGGGATGGAGAAGGTGTGTTCTGTACTACCTCAACAATTCCGGGATGAGTGCCGGGACTTTGTGGATATCTATGGGAAGTCTCTTATCGACATGCTTTTGGAAGCAACAGACCCAAAAGTTGTATGTGAGAGGCTGGGATGCTGTGGAAGCAAGGTTTTGCCTGCTGGTAAGCACTTGAATAAGTCAGTTCAATGTAGTATGTTCTCCTACATGCTAGTTTATACAGGACTAATTTTTTAATGTTGCATTTTTAGTTCCTTTGGTGGTTGCAGAAAGCATTCTGAACATAATACTTTTACAATTGTGAATTTACAGAAAAGCTTGTTCCAGTGAAGTCACAAGTTGGGGGTCTTTGTGACGTGTGCAAGATGGTTGTAGCTTATGCAGATAAAGAGTTGGCAAAGAATGCTACTGCTGCTGAGATTGAAGCTTTTCTGGAAAGAGTCTGCCACTACTTGCCCGAATCTGTCAGTGATCAGGTACAAGAGTTGATAGAAAATGATAAAAACTGAAATGTAGAATATAGCACGTGCTAAAACATGTGCGAAAGGTGAACTCTGCCTTTACCTCTACTTAATCTTCTGCCTAGTGCTACTCAAGCCTGTCTGTGGATGAGCGGTTTTTGAAGCATGGGTGGTGTTATATGTATAAGATTTCTCTAAGGCCTTGAATATTCTCCTTCTCTGCTATGTAACTGTATTTCTTTGCTCTGTGAAAAGAGGCAGGACATGTTCAAAGGGAGTAAACACAGCAGCTAAACAACGTAACTGACTTAGATTTCAGCAAGATACAAGCCTGAGAACTAAAATATACAGCCCAGGAATGTAATATCAAACATTTCCTCCCAATTATTCTTAATCCATAGAGTAGCTGCTTGTATCCAAGCTAGGTGTGTGTGTGTGTGTATACGCAGTAAAACATGTTAAACTTGTCTCCTCCTTACACTATTTCAGTCACTTTGTATATACAGTCTCATAAGCTATGAAATGATGTTCTAATTCTGAAATTGCTGTTAACATTCACATACAGTAGAAAAGATAGGTAGGCAGCTAAATAATTTTTGCCTCAGTTTTAGTATACCTGCAATTTTTGATGAGTGCCAACTAGCTGAAACTTGTTTGCCTACTGTCACATTAATTGACAATGTGCAAAACTGCCTCTTAGCCTGGGCACAATTCACTGCAAGTGTGGACTTGAAGATTTCTTTTAAGCTGTAGCATTTTACAAGGTCAATTCTCAGAACTTAGGGATACTCATGAAGGCAATACTCAGAAGCTTCTTCCATTGTTCTCATAGCTCTTGTGTCATTTTAGGACAGAATGGAATATAAAATGTTACTATTTGCTTTGACCGTTTGCTTTGATGCACACAAATGATTATATAAAGTGGCATCAAAACTGAGTTAAATAAATGTAGGGTCCTGAAAATCCTACCAAGAAAAGCAATGTTTGCTTATTTTGTCTTATAACGCCCTTTCCACAAAACGTCCATCCCTTATGTGTATGCTCAAGACCTATACTTCTAATAGGTCATGCCAGAGAGCAGAGGAATAATCTCTCAATTTCCTGTATTTCTAATGCAACTACATAAGCATAATGGTTATGTTTCACATGGTTGCATGAGATTAATGTCTATGCTTCCCCATGTTTTCTGGCAAGGAGATAGATTTCAGCAAAACTTCTGGTGAAAATGTGATTTTTGTGTGCAAAAGGCAGCTAACTACTCTATTTCCTGTTGCTAGAATTCATTGGCTTCGTACAAAATTGTTTATATTTATGCTCGCACATCAGTATGTCAGAAAACGAGTTAGAGCAGGAGTGGTTATCTGAGAGAGCCAACAGTTGTATGTATTTGGGCCCATCTTGCTCTTTGGAGCAAGGCAGGGAGTCATGTGCCAGCACTGCAACCTGTGAGGCTTTTTGTTGCACAAAACCTTACAACAGCAGTGCTGAGTTGAACTTGTAAATGCTGTGTGGTCTGTGTGATGTAGGTACTGCCATACAGCACGTGAGCCCCAGTCGGAATATGTCTTATTTCAGTGTCAACATGAAGGCCTGGCCCTGTGACATGGCAAGGATATGTTCCCTGACTTCATGTTTTGGCCTGAATCAGGGAATGGGATGCTGCTAGAAACCCCAATGAGTAGTTTCCCTTTGTTCTGGAGGACGGCATTAGGCAGGGACCAGATGAAAAGTTCCAGCAGTCCAAAAGGTTTCTGGAGATTGCGCTAGCACAGTGGTTCTCAACCTGTGGGTCCCCAGGTGTTTTGACCCACAACTCCCAGAAATCCAACCAGTTTACCAGCTGTTAGGATTTCTGGGTGTTGAAGGCCAAAACATTTGGGGACCCACAGGTTGAGACCCACTGCTCTAGCATTACTTCTGATTGGGTCCAGCAAATCTGGACAGCTGGTATATGAAAGAACTGGAAACAGCAGCCTATATCATCCCTCCCTGGACCCTGATACATTAATAATCCCTGGATCTTATCCATGCTTATCTACTTGGGGTAGGTGTTGTCCAAAGTATCTGGGTGGTCAGCAGGTTGCCTACTACTTGCTATAACCTTCCATTTAAATTAATGGGACATGAATGCTTCAGACTGGGTGGCATCTACTGCAAAAAATAATTCTAGGTCTGTAATGTGTGTGTTGTATTTCAGTCCTATAATTATCTTTCTCATTATGTCTTCCTTTAAAAAAAATCAACAGTGCGTACAGTTTGTGGATCAATATGAGCCAATAGTTGTGCAGCTCTTGGCAGAAATGATGGACCCTGGTTTTGTGTGTAGTGTAAGTACTAAAACTAGAATTACCATTCATAGATAATACTTTAGTGCTGCTTTCATTATTACACACTCATTTTGCTGTCATGTTTTGGCTTTTAAGGTTCTGTAAGTGAAAACTGAAAATTCACCTTAAAATTAAGTTTGGGTTGTCTTGGATTTTTTTTTTTTTTGACATGGTTTTTGTGTTCTAAAACTTTTGACCTAATAAAATCTTTCAACAAGATTGGAATTATCAAGATATTGTGACTAAATAATACAGATAGTTTTTCTTTGATACTTGTTTTGGTATCAAAGTTACAACCCTCTCAGTTTCATCAAAATGAAGATACCTTTGAACTTAGAGATGTCATGAAATGTATTAAGATCCTGACGTGGAACGTGGCAGGGGCAAGGGTAAACTCCAGTGTTGAAATGGTTAATTTTCTTAATAGTTTTGATTTAATAACTTTACAAGAATCATGGGTGGTAGATGGGGGGGATCAGCTACAGCTGCTGGGCTATGATATTTGGGATAGTAATGCCCCAAAATAAAAAAATAAAAAAAGAGCTTCTGGGGGTCTAGGGATCCTGTTAAAAGCAGAACTAAACTGGAAAGGAACCAGACTATATGAGGGAGATGATTTACCACAAGTTCTGGTTGTAAGGTTCAGTTACAGGAATAATGATCTAATAATGATTAATGTGTATATCCTACCTATCACATCCCCATACTACAGACCTGAAATTTGGGTGCAGTTAGAATCCATTATTCTGGACATCTCACTCCTCTACCCATATGCTGTAATTATTCTGTTTGGGGGACTTTAACGCCAGGCTTGGCTCTTCATCTGTGGCCCTTGCGACCTCTATAGGCCTATGCTGCATGTAGGATCCCCTGTTGGTCTTCCTGTGACACAAAGACCAATGCAATGCAAAACTTTTATCATTAACCAGCAAATGCAGTCTGCTAATCCTAGGGGGCAGAGATCCTAACTTCAAATACGCCTTCACATACCATGGCATACACACGAGCAGGGTACTCGTGTGTATGTAGGAAAAGACGATCTCTTCTCACAAATTGAAGTCCTCCCCAGAGTAGATAGTGACCATTAACCAGTCAGTGTTTATCTCAGTGCCCTATCGGACTTAGAATTACTAATAAGTCAGACTGTTGGATTACAAGGGAATGTGGGAATCCACATTTTGATCAGAATGAAGCAGTAACTAATGTCCCTTCTCCTGCTACAGAAACTTGGCGTTTGTGAGAAATCGACAGAGCACCTTTTGGGATCAGAGTTATGTGTCCGTGGACCTGGCTATTGGTGTAAAAATATGGACACCGCATTGCAGTGTAATGTAAGTAAATAAGATTTCTTTGTATGTATGAACAGTTTTTTATTTTCTATAGACCAGTGGGACATTTAGGGTTTTCATAACAATTACTGAAGATGAATTGCAGGCATGACATGCAGTCCCATATTGACCCAACTTCTCACTAAGTAATAATAATAATAATAATAATCTTTATACCCCGCCATCATCTCCCCGCTGGGGACTCAGGGCGGTTTACATGAGGCCAAGCCCAAGCAACAAGTTACAACAGAATAAAACCGAAAATGCAAATAATAAACAACAACATCATAATTACATAACACATATGAATACATAACAATATAAAATTACAATAAACACAATCACAATGACAGTGGGCAGGCTACATGTAATGATTAAAAGAAAATTAATTAAAAACTGATTAAAACTCGAGTGAGATAAGGAGAAGCAGGTTATTTGCGGAAGAGGACTCATTAAAATGGCGGTTGTGGAATCAAGCTTTCCCACAAAAAGGGGGGACGTATACTCCAATGAGAGGACGTTGAGGCTAAGCAATAGTGTGAGGTTTTATACCTATTCACCAAAGGCACAGCGGAAGAGCCAGGTTTTAAGGTTCTTTTTAAAGGTTTCTAGGGTAGGGGCTTTCCTAATCTCTAAGTACCCATCTTTGTTATTTTGTATGCTTGTACTAACACTGAACATTACTGTTACCCCGAATCCCATCTTCTCTAGCCATCAGCTTGTCATAAATTATCATTATTCCACAATAAAATAACTAAAAATATAAAGGACCTCAAGAAAAAATATCTTTATTTTTCTCATGATAGCAGTCAACTTTCATATTAGTGTTTGGTGGGATGTTAATACATAAAAGAACCCCTGCTGTAGATACATCACTGTTTCTGGCATTTGTTTTGCCCTATAAATCCAGGTGCTAACATAAAAGGGCTCGAGTTATTTTGTTTGGGCTGTTTGTAAATGGATGGAGTTCACTGTCTTTTGTCCTTTTTTTCCAGGCTGTTGAACACTGCAAGCATCATGTGTGGAACTAGAAGAAGTTTTTACTTTCGCCGACTTTCATTTTCATTTTTGAAGAAGCAAAAGGCAAGGATTAGGCCAGCAAGAACTCATTCTTGATGTCCCGATCTCCTCACAGCTCCATCATCCCCAATCATATGTTTCTTTTTATGAATTGTTTGGTAGCCATGCTGCTACTCAGGAAGGGATCCACACGTCATATTTCTGATTTTAGTTTTAGTTCCTTATGGTTCATAAGAATGTGAGAAATCATCAGTGTTGGTCAATTGGTCTGAGTGCCTCTGAGAAATGGGGCTTATCGACAATGTAAGCAAATTAAGGACAGGACTGTTGTGTCTAGATCTTAAATGTAGCTACTAATTTTTAAAGGCGCTCTGACTGGTGATTTAACTTGTTATAATGTGTGTCTCTCAATACTTTTCATTAAAACAGATATTGAAATTATGTCCCCTTGTGAACATTAATTGGTAGCACCCCTTAAATTGATGTTTTTTTACATCTAGAGATAAAAAAATTAGAATTTGACAAATGCAACAGTATCCTTCCATCTATGGGAATCTTCCTAAGAAGCGATACAAATATGCCCATGGCGATTGCATAATTAATCCTACAGGCCCTGAGGCTATCATGAAATTGGTTAACATATGGCCACACAAAACTTTTCATTCTCCTCAGTTTGATGGCAAAATTTGATTCAGGACCTACCTGAATGATAGCAAGTCTTATGGGTATCCAATAGCAAGCGGTGGGCACTAAGTCCCATTCTTTTTAAACTATTTGAGTAGCTTTATGGAAGAACAAAAGAGTAAACTGTCATAATTAAAACTGGAAAATCAAATTGGCATGTTCTAGCTGACTTTTGCAAAGTCTATGGCTCTTCCCTTGCTTAGGATGTCACTCATGGTTTCCCATATCTTTTGGGAAGAGTTTCTGTAAAAAAGTAGAAGCTTGGAAAAAGCAAGGTTGATAGTGCGGTTGTTAAACGTCAGACTTCCACAGTTAGGTTTAAGAATAGATAAGGCATTTTGCGATACCAACAATTAACACCCTGGCAATTCTCATTCTGCAGTTCAACGCTATGAGGTGCCAGAGTCTGCCTTGTTCTGTAACCTTAGGCTGTTTTGCATGATTAGGCATGATCCCGGATAGATCTAGGAGCAAGTTGGATGCTTGGGAAAGCATGTCATCTGGTAGTATAGAGCTTGATACTTGCTTCAGGACAGTTTTGTATGTGTCGGAGGGTATTAGCTCTGTGGCTCAGGATGTGTGGAGGCAGTGCCACTGATAAGCACTGCCAGGCTGGAAGGCTGTGCCATTTACTGTGTCCATTAGTGGCTTATTTCAAAGTATTTTCCCCCAGAAGACAAACATAATCTAAAGTTGTAGATGGTGGATGAAAGCTCTTATCCCCCCACAACTTCTACACGCATAGATGTCTAAACATTTTGTTCAAAAACAAACAAATGCATGAATGGATTGCTGTATCGGTATGATAAAGCTGGAAAAACAGAAGTTTTGGAAACATAGTGTACCAAGTAAAGCTAAATGTGAGAGGAGAGAGCTCACTCCAGGGGAAGCAATGCCATGATTAGTGCATATTACAGCCATGGTTTTATGCAGCTTCATTGCGTATATCCTAGATGCATTTGAGGGCATTGACATGATTTTATCAAATTGGTTTTTTAAAAAGTCTGTTACTGGCTCTAAGTAAGCTTTCGCTGCTTGGAAATGAATATATGATACGAAGCAGCTACTATATTTCCTCACCTTGCTGCTGACAGTAACAGTGATGTCTGCTAACTCTCGTGCATTGAGATGGGGTGAATATTTCCTGCTTGTTAGCAATGGCCGCTTTCTGTCAAAGTTGTCAGATATTTGATGTTGGACTGTGTAGTACAGTCAGATCTTTCAGATTAGGTGCCATTGTTTGTTTTGGCTATTTAAAATTATATCCTGTACGCAGAGTTCAGTTTCCTGTTTTGAGGAAGTGATTCTACAGTCTTTTGGACAAGGCTTGTAACTGGGATCGTCCAGGGTTGTTTTTTCTTTTTTTTGTATACTACCATACTAATTGTAGCATTCTCGTTGCATTAAAGCCTCCATCCTTCAGGTATGCACTGGTGAATAAGCAATTACTTTAAACAACCACTCTATTTGATTTTGTGTGTGTGTGTGTTGCACTAAAGCTTCTGTAATTTAACAATAAAGTTGTAACCAAATTTACCAGCTTTGTGTCTTTTCTATAAAAAGAATTGGGAGTAAATGCCGCTTCTTGTTTATAATGCAATCCAAGACTCAAAATAACACGATGGACATTTTACTGCAAAACAGATGTTGCTTGAGGATGTTTCACACTTATGGTAGGCATCCTGTTGGGTTTTCTCCAATTGCAAAGTTATTGGAGAAAAGATACCCATCGCTTCTCGGCCTTTTGGCTAAGATCAAGTGTAGTATTGGAGAAAAGATATTCCATAACTTTTCTCCAATACTAAACTTGTGCGCCACCTGCAACCCTACCTCATAAAGTCGGACTTGACCACGGTGGTCCACGCCTTAATTTCCTCTAGATTGGACTACTGCAATGCGCTCTACATGGGTCTTCCCTTGAAGATGGCCCAGAAACTACAACTTGTCCAACGCTTGGCAGTCAGATTAATAATGGGGGCAAATTACAGGGAGCAGACAACCCCCCCCCCCTGTTTAAGAGGCTCCATTGGCTGCTGTTTATTTTCCAGTCCCAATTCAAGGTACAGGTAATCACCTATAAAGCCCTAAACGGTTTGGGACCCGCCTACCTTCGTGACTGTATCTCCCTCCATGAACCTGTCCAATCCCTTCGATCTTCGGGGGAGGCTCTGCTTTTGCCCCTTCTGTATTCTCAGGCCCGCCTGGTGGGAATAAGGGAGAGAACTTTCTCCTCAGTGGCCCCCCGACTTTGGAATACATTTGCCGGTGAGATTAGGCGAGCCCCCACTTTAAAAAGTTTTAAGAAGAATCTCAAAACCTGACTCTTCTGTTGCGCTTTTGGTGATTAACCATACAACCTGATATTGTTGTTACTCCTCATTGTTTGTCTTTAGAGTATACCCCCTCCTTTCCTGTACGAAGACCCTTCTCCAGGGCTGTAGCCAGAAAAAAACTTTGGGTGGGGTTGAAATTTTCGGGGGGGGGGGTTGAAACCTGCCTCCTAGCTCACACTGAAGCAAAGAGCACAGCAGGGGCAGAGCAGCCTTCAATAGCCTGCAGCTCCGCCCCTGTCAACCACCTCCACCAAGTCTGGCCTCCTTAATGAGAGCATTCAACACACACACACCCCAACTTGGTTGCTTCACTACATCGGCTATTGCTGCAAGTAATGACAGTGTGAATAAATTGTTAATATTTGCTTGAGATAGTGCTTGCAGTTCTGGAGGGACAGTTAATTTTTTGCATCTCATAGACTTAGCATAGGGATTTGGTTAACCAGTTAAAATTCATGAGTAAACCAGGTTTTTTAAAAAATCTGAAACATTTTGGGGGGGGGGTGAACCCCTACCCCCCCCCCCTCGCTACAGGCCTGCCCTTCTCGACCCCTCTTGAAGAGTTTCTCCCTCACAAATAAATCTGCTCCATCTCATCTCACCCCGTGTTTTTAGCTTTCGAGTCGCCTCCGGGCTGAGGAGCGGTATACAAGCATAGTTAGTAAATAAATAAATTCTGTACATGCGGCCCACTCACTGTTACTGTGTTATGAATGATTTTATTTTAGTTATATATTTTTTGCTGTATTTTTATGCTTTATGTAATTTATCATGCTATTGTTTTGTGTTTTGATTTCATTTATTGTATTGTTTTGCTTGGCTTGGCCTCATGTAAGTCCCCATTGGGGAGATTTATTTATCGTGTCATCCGCAACCAGAACATTGTATTACATTTCTAACAGAACAAAACAAACAGATAAAAAAAACACACAAAATTTGCAAACTTGGTAGCTGATTAAATGTCCTTTGACCAGTATCTGGCCACTTGGAGTGCCTCTGGTGTTGCCGCAAGAAGGTCCTCCATCGTGCATGTGGCAGGGCTCAGGTTGCATTGCAGCAGGTGGTCAGTGGTTTGCTCTTCTCCACACTCGCATGTCGTGGATTCAACTTTGTAGCCCCGTTTCTTAAGATTGGCTCTGCATCTCATGGTGCCAGAGCGCAGTCTGTTCAGCGCCTTCCAAGTCGCCCAGTCTTCTGTGTGCCCAGGGGGGAGTCTCTCATCTGGTATCACCCACGGATTGAGGTGCTGGGTTTGAGCCTGCCACTTTTGAACTCTCGCTTGCTGAGGTGTTCCAGCGAGTGTCTCTGTAGATCTAAGAAAACTATTTCTTGATTTAAGTCATTGACGTGCTGGCTGATACCCAAACAAGGGATGAGCTGGAGATGTCTCTGCCTTGGTCCTTTCACTATTGGCTGCAACTTCCCGGCGGATGTCAGGTTATATTGGGGAGATGGTGGCAGGGTATAAATAAAAATGATGATGATGATGATTATATCTCCCAACATTCCACTATTTAGTTTTCCTGGATAAGTTACAATATTATGAAAAAAGGGGGGTCTTTCATTTCCTCCATGCCTTACATAATTTCACCCATCACCATCATGACCCCCACAACACTTTTCTGAGATAAGAAAGATCAGCAAAACCTCATTGTGGCTGCCTTTATCTGTACCTTCTCCAATTCTATAATATCTTTTTAAAGATGATTACACCTGGCTCCCAAAATATACATTAAAACAGTACTAAAGCAGGCAATGGGCTTCACAGTTATCAGTTATAGTGACCTCTCTATACCAAGATAGAAAAGACTATTTCTGAAGACCAAGGGATAGTGACTTCAGGGATCTGTTTATTGTTTTGGGTAAAACATAACCGTTCCTAATTTGGAAGGTACAGAGCAGAAACATTTCAAGGTGACAAGCTGATCTTCAGCTTAGCAAATCTGGAAATTGAAAATGGTGGTAGTGAACTACCGTATATACTCGAGTATAAGCCAACCCAAATATAAGCCGATTTTTTTTAACCACAAAAATTTGGGAAAAAATATGAGTATAAGCCCAGGGTGAGAAATGCAGCAGCTACTGGTCAATTTCAAAATAAAAACAGATACCAATAAAATTATATTATTGTTTTGTGAATGCAATAAAAGAAAAAAATATATTGAGGCGTCAGTAGGTTAAATGCTTTTGAATATTTACATAAAACTAATTTGAGATAAGACTATCCAACTCTGATGAAACCATTATTCTCACCTTTTTCAGTGTAAATGTGCTTACATATCCTTCCAATAATAATAGAGTAAAATAATAAATGTAATAATAAGAATAAAATAATAAATGTAATAAAACAATAGTAAATACAGTAAAATAATAATTGAGTAAAATAATGTAAATATAATAATAATAATAAATAGAATAACATAATAAATGTAATAAAATAATACTAATAACAGAGTAAAATAATAAATAACCTTGATTCAAGTATAAGCCAAGGGGAGCTTTTACAGCCTAAAAAAGGAGTGGAAAAACTAAGCTAATACCCGAGTATATACAGTAGTTTTAAAGAAGGTACATTGAAGCCCAGGCTTTAAGTTTAGCATAAATATACATACACTTTGTATTGGGATACATTAAATATACTTAATTACACTGGTTTGCACAGCTTGTGTAACCTGTTATGCAATATGCAGCTACAAGCTTGCAAAGGCTTAGCTTCCCCAGCCTGGCAGAGGAAAGTAATAGAGTGGGCTATATGTATGGTAACATCACACCTCAGTAGGATGCCAGGCCAAATTGTGAGATAAACATTTTCAACATTAATGGATTATACTGTAGTACAGAAGGGGTTAGAATTTTGATGCCCTTCAGATGTCGCTGAAGCTCCCCATGTGCCTTACCACTGTATAAAGATGCTTCTAAGGGTTGATGGGAATTGCTATCCCAAAACCTGTGTAGTAGGCATGGTTAGGTTTGGTCGGAATCTTTGTAATTCGGAATACATTTCGAAAGATTTGCTTTTTGAAGCGATTTTGAAGTTTTAAAGGAAACCAGAAGTCCCTTTGCCCTTCCGAAGCTTTTTCCACAATTTCTGTTATGAAGCAGTAAGTGAGTCGGAAATGATTCAGCTTTTCCCTGCTTCTGGTTTCAAGCCTGTGAAGCATGTTAAAGCAGACTGGATGGATTTCCTGCCTTCCCCTCACTTCTGGTCTCGAGCCTGGGAAGCGTTTTAAACCAGACTGGATGGATTTCCTGCCTTCCCCTCGCTTCTGGTCTCGAGCCCGGGAAGCGTTTTAAACCAGACTGGATGGATTTCCGGCCTTTCCTCTCCCCTCGCTTCTGGTCTTAAGCCTGGGAAGCATTTAAAGCCAGAATGAATGGATTTTCTGCCTTTCCTCTCTGCTCGCTTCTGGTCCCAAGCCTGGGAAGCATTTTAAACCAGACTGGATGGATTTTCTGCCTTTCCTCTCCCCTCGCTTCTGGTCTCAAGCCTGGGAAGCGTTTTAAACCAGACTGGATGGATTTCCTGCCTTTCCTCTCCTCTCGCTTCTGGTCTCAAGCCTGGGAAGCGTTTTAAACCAGAATGGATGGATTCCCTGCCTTTCGTCTCCTCTCACTTCTGGTCTCAAGCCTGGGAAGTGTTTTAAACCAGAATGGATTGATTTCCTGCCTTTCCCCTCCCCTCGCTTCTGGTCTCAATCCTGGGAAACATTTTAAAACAAACTAGATGAATTTCCTGCCTTTCCTCTCCCCTCGCTTCTGGTCTCAAGCCTGGGAAGTGTTTTAAACCAGACTGGATGGATTTCCTCCTTTCCTCTCCCCTCGCTTCTGGTCTCAAGCCTGGGAAGCATTTTAAACCAGACTGGATGGATTTCCTGCCTTTCCTCTCCCCTCGCTTCTGGTCTCAAGCCTGGGAAGCGTTTTAAACCAGACTGGATGGATTTCCTGCCTTTCCTCTCCTCTCGCTTCTGGTCTCGAGCCTGGGAAGCGTTTTAAACCAGACTGGATGGATTTCCTGCCTTTCCTCTCCCCTCGCTTCTGGTCTCGAGCCTGGGAAGCATTTTAAACCAGACTGGATGGATTTCCTGCCTTTCCTCTCCCCTTGCTTCTGGTCTCAAGCCTGGGAAGCGTTTTAAACCAGACTGGATGGATTTCCTGCCTTTCCTCTCCTCTCGCTTCTGGTCTCGAGCCTGGGAAGCATTTTAAACCAGACTGGATGGATTTCCTGCCTTTCCTCTCCCCTTGCTTCTGGTCTCGAGCCTGGGAAGCGTTTTAAACCAGACTGGGATTCCCTGCCTTTCCTCTCCCCTCGCTTCTGGTCTCAAGCCTGGGAAGTGTTTTAAACCAGACTGGATGGATTTCCTGCCTTTCCTCTCCCCTCGCTTCTGGTCTCAAGCCTGGGAAGCATTTTAAACCAGACTGGATGAATTTCCTCCCTTTGCTCTCCTCCCTCCCTTTCTGGAGTAAAACAACTTGTTTCAAAGTAAAGACCACAATGAAACAGGAAATAACACTTTCAAACCATTAAGGAAGGATTTGGAAGTCTTGGAAGTTTCAAAAAGTTTTGAACATTTTTTCTGTGAAAATCGGAACTGACTTCCAAATCGAACCAACATCTGAAACGAGTTTTGAACCATTTTTTCAAATCAAACAAGCCTATTGTGTAGAACTGCATGATTCTGGACTTAAAACCTTCTCACAGTGGACTTCCTTATAAAAGGAGACTTGATTCTAAAGAGATAGATGTTGAGGCCTACAGCATGGTCCCACTGCTAGGAGCTTGGTGTGAAGAAGAGGTGCCTACAAGCCCTTGAATGGTGGAATTCCTTATCCTTGCTGTTTAACCACAACAGGAAACATAAGGAAACCCACATTCTTGGGAGCTAGCCTAGCTGGGAATCTGCAATGATGAAGAAACTGCTTACCTCTCATCTGGGAGTGCTTTTGTGCTTACAAATTATGCACATTGCATTAATTACATTCACCTGAGGCTGGGTGGGGTAAAAGTGGTACTTGTGAAACTTCTGGTGCGTAGGTGTGCTCTCCATCCTGCTGCTCGGCGTCCCGGGATTGCTCATTACAGACTGGAGGTGCCTTCTCTACCAAGCACTCAGGGCTTCTGTGGTACCAAGAAGATGCAAGGCTTATGGAAAGGTGGTCTGCTGCTAATAACACTCTACTTTGCTTCCTATCAAGGTAAGGGCCTGGTAGCTTATTTCCCTGGTGAAGACAAACAACCTGCCTTTCTCAAATGAAGGATAAGGGCTTTTTCGGGTCCATTAGATGTGAAAAGATACTGATCATGATCTATAAAGCCCTATACATTTTGAATCGAGCCTGTCTTCAAGGACATGTCTCTTGGTGACATGAAGGAGAGCCTTCTCAGTGACTGCTCCCATCCTCTGGAACATCCTCATATTAAAGGCTAAATTGGAAGGCAAATAGCTTTTATTTAAACAACCTGTTAATACATAAACTCTGGCGCTTTTTATTAGACACTAGCCGTCCCCTGCCACGCGTTGCTGTGGCCCAATCTGGTGATCTGGAAAATAAAGTATTGTGAAAGTGTGGGTTTCTAATATATGTAATTTCTTGCTGTTTCTTTGTCAGTGTTGATGTGTAGAGTATCTGGTTTTCCTACTCTGGAATATGGAACATATAATTGTCCTTCTTTAGGGGTCCCTTTCAAATCTATGATACTATATATCTCTCTCTGTGTGTGAATCATATCTATCTATCTATATTTATGACTGGATGACTCTTTGTCAGGAGGGCTTTGATTACATTTTCTTGCCCTGGTGAAGAGAGTTGGACTGGATGGCCTTAAGTATTTTCTGTTGGTCATGGGGGTTCTGTGTGGGAAATTTGCCCCAATTCTGTCGTTTGTGGGGTTCAGAATGCTCTTTGATTGTAGGTGAACTATAAATCCCAGTAACTACAACTCCCAAATGTCAAGGTCTATTTTCCCCAAACTCCATCTGTGTTCATATTTGGGCATATGGAATATTTGTGCCAAGTTTGGTCCAGATCTGTCATTGTTTGAGTCCACAGTGCTTTCTGGATGTTGAACTACAACTCCCAAACTCAAGGGTCAATGCCCACCAAACCCTTCTAGTGTTTTCTGGGAGTCCTGTATGCCATGTTTGGTTCAATTCCATAATTGGTGGAGTTCATGGTTGTTCTGTGTGGGAAGTTTGGTCCAATTCTATCATTGGTGGGGTTCAGAATGCTCTTTGATTGTAGGTGAACTATAAATCCCAGTAACTACAACTCCCAAATGTCAAGGTCTATTTCCCCAAACTCCATCTGTGTTCATATTTGGGCATATGGAATATTTGTGCCAAGTTTGGTCCAGATCCATCATTGTTTGAGTCCACAGTGCTCTATGGATGTAGGTGAACTACAACTCTCAAACTCAGGGTCAATGCCCACCAAACCCTTCTAGTGTTTTCTGGGAGTCCTGTATGCCACGTTTGGTTCAATTCCATAATTGGTGGAGTTCAGAATGGTCTTTGATTGTAGGTGAAGTATAAATCCCAGCAACTACAACTCCCAAATGACAATTTTTTTTGAGTGAAGGCCATACATTGAGTTGTTAGGTGTATGCTGTCCAAATTTGGTGTCAATTCATCCAGTGGTTTTGAGTTATGTTAATCCCACAAACGAGCATTACATTTTTATTTATTTAGATTTTTTCTGATCTTTTGGTATGCTTGTAACCGGTTTTAAAATATATTATGATAGGATTGTAATTGTATTGAAAATATTTTTAGTTTAGTGATTTTTGGAAGCTGGCTTGGGCCAGGGGCCTTCCACACAGCTAAAATCCCACAATATCTGCTTTGAACTAGGATATATGGCAGCGTTGACTCAGATAATTCAGTTCAAAGGAAATATTGTGGGATTTTCTGCCTTGGTAGTCTGGGTTATATGGCTGTGTGGAAGGCCCCTCAGGGAGAAAGGCAACCTATAAATTAATTTGATAAATAAAAAGATTGCTGAGCCCCAAGGAAAGATGCGTTTTTCAAGGAGCACTTGAATGATGAAACGCTTTATGAAACAAGTAATAAGGGAGAGAAGTCTCTTATCTTTTTGTGCCTCTTCTGTGCACACACAAAAATATCACCAGTCTCCAAGTAAGGGCCCTTCCACACAGCCCTATATTCCAGAATATCAAGGCAGAAAATCCCACAATATCTGCTTTGAACTGAGTCCACACTCAGATAATGTGAGATTTTCTGTCTTGATATTCTGGGAAATAGGACAGTGTGGAAGGGCCCTAAAACACATTCTTAGGAACCCTTCCACGCAGCCATATGCCCCAGAATATCAAGGCAGAAAATCCCACGATATTTGCTTCAAATTGGGTTATCTGAGTCCACACTGCCATATATCCCAGTTCAAAGTAGATAATTCAGCTGCGCAGAAGGGACCTGAGTTGCTTAGATGGAATTACGTCCATTTGTCTTAATGCCCTGCTTATCCTAATGGATTTTTTAAACTCAACTAGCGACTAAAGATTGAACTGGATGTGCTCCAAAATTTACAATGGCCTTGATTATTGTATTATTCATGCTGGGAGCTGCCCCAAATCCCCTGGGGAGATGGGGCGGGGTATAAATAAAGTTTATTATTATATTATTATTATTATTATTATTATTATTATTATTATTATTATTAGAAACACAACAAGATGAGTCCACAGCAGACACTCTGCTGGCTGTTGTATTAGATCACACGTCAGACACTTCCCAAGTGTCTCGGACTGTGTGATGTATCGGCAAATAATGCATGCAGATCCCAGTAAGGTGGCCTTCTGCAACTGGCAGATGGTAATCTTGTCAGCGCTGATTGTGTTTAAGTGCAGGCCAAGAACTTTAGGCACTGCACCCAGTGTGCCGATCACCACTGGTACCACCTTGACTGGCTTGTGCCAGAGTCTTTGCAGTTCGATCTTTAAATCCTCATATCGTGTCAGCTTTTGCAGTTGTTTCTCTTCAATCCTGTTGTCACCTGGGATTGCGACATTGACAATCCATACTTTGTTTTTTAACACGATCGTGAGGTCAGGAGTATTGTGCCCCAAAATTCTTGTCTGTCTGAATTCGGAAGTCCCAGAGTGGTTTGACGAGTTCATTTTCTGTAACATTTTCAGGCTTGTGATCCCACCAGTTCTTTGTCGCAGGCAGGTGGTATTTGTGGCACAAGTTCCAATGAATCATCTGAGCAATGGTGTTATGCCTCTGCTTATATGTCTGCGTGATCTTCTTGCAGCAGCTGAGGATATGATCTATTGTTTCAGCTGCTTCCTTGCAGAGTCTACATTTGGGATCTGTTGTGGACTTTTCAATTCTGGCTTCTTCTTCTTCTTCTTCTTATTATTATTATTATTATTATTAAGAAAGTAGATTTAGGTTAGAGATGGGGAAATGTCCATCGATGGTTGTGGGGGTGTATACAAGGGGGTGTGTACAAAGACAAATGGAATGGAATGGATATATGGACTCTGATATATGGACTCTGACATGAGATTGTTTTATGATTTTAGTAGGTATTGATGTTTTAATTTAATTGTTGAATTGTTATATTTTGTACTGCTTGTTGTGTGATCTGGGCATCTAATTGTGCCTTCCCTGTAAGCCGCCCTGAGTCCCCCCCGGGGTGAGAAGGGCGGGGTATAAGTAAATGAAATAAATAAATAAATAAATAAATAAATTGTTGTTCATTTGTTCAGTCGTTTCCGACTCTTCGTGACTTCATGGACCAGTCCACGCCAGAGCTCCCTGTCGGTTGTCACCACCCCCAGCTCCTTCAAGGTCAATCCAGTCACTCCAAGGATACCATCCATCCATCTTGCCCTTCGTCGGCTCCTCTTCCTTTTTCCTTCCATTTTCCCCAGCATCATACTCTTCTCTAAGCTTTCCTTTCTTCTCATAATGTGGCCAAAGTACTTCATCTTGGCCTCTACTAATTTCCCCTCCAATGAGCAGTCAGGCTTTATTTCTTGAAGTATACAAGGGTAGTACATGAAATTATGTGGAGGCAGCATCTCCTTCTATGAACCGGTGCGAGCTCTAAGATCTTCTGGGAAGGCCCTCCTCTCGGTCCCACTATCGTCTCAAGCGTGCTTGGTGGGGATGAGAGAGAGGGCCTTCTCAGTGGTGGCCCGCTTCTCTGGAACGCCCTTCTAAAGGAAATAAGACAGGCCCCATCCCTCCCATCCTTTCGTAAGAGCTTGAAGATCTGGTGGTTTCAACAAGCCTTTGAAAATGACCAGTTCTAACTCAACCCCACACATTGTCGAATACGGCCTTATTCTTCCTACCAGTTACCCAGATTCTTTCCTCTAATCGGCCCTGGAATGGACAGCCACAGACCTAATATTATTGTTGCCTGCCATAGCATTGCACTTAATTCCCGGGGCCCCTAGAATTTTTGGGCTTGCACAAATCTTGGCCCGGCCTTTTAAATTTTGATATTGCCTTGAACAGGCAGGATTACTTTTAATATATGCGTGTTATGGCGACAGTTTTTATGTTTATATTTTGTTTGTTAATCTTATGGTTATGTTGTCTTTACTCTGTATGTTTTGTGATATTATTTGGGAACCGCTCTGAGTCCCCTCGGGAAGATGGAGCAGTATATAAATAAATTATTATTATTATTATTATTATTATTATTATTATTATTATTATTATTATCAACCCCATCCCCCTCACCCCTAAATGAAGCAGGTAGGTCTTCCTTTTCCTTTTCCTTTTCCTTTTCCTTTCCCTCCTTCCTTCCTTCCTTCCTTCCTTCCTTCCTTCCTTCCTTCCTTCCTTCCTTCCTTCCTTCCTTCCTTCCTTCCTTTCTTGTCTAACTGCTGTGAAAAGAAGAGATTATGTGCTATATCCAAAACTGAATGTATAATATCTGGCTATTGTTTCCCCACTCCTTAGTAAATATCTTCAATAGTCTACTCACTGGAGAAGGCTGGTGTATATTGGTTGAAATCTTCATTTGTAGCTGATTCTGATAGGTAATTTGTAACGTCCTTAATGATAAGAATCATATTCATATTCTCTTCTTCATGTTGAAGATTCAGCTACATTTGATTCTTCCATGCCAAATACACCTTGACCCTGGGAAATGAATTTGTTTGACCTGACAAATGTAAGGGGAGGGAATTGAAGTTTTATTACAGTAGTGTTGCC